CGGTGAGAGTACAGGGAAGTGCGACCCCAGAGAATGGATTGCACGTTATGGGAGTGTTTTTAAATGAATAGATTTGGGGACAGTGACTGCTTGTTCTGGGGTTGTGGCAGTCAAGGGGATGAGCAAGTCTTTACCGGAGAGACAACACTCGAACTGGGTCTTAAAGAATGAAGAGGTTTTCATCCACAGAGAGGATGATTCTAGACAGAGAAATAGCATGTTCAAATATATAGCATCATGAAGTTGGGAGGCCATGAGAGGACCCCAAAATTTGAACTACGTGAACAAATGAACAAGAAAAGGAGCAAGTGTAAGAAAGTGAGGGAAGAGTAGGATATAAGATGGAAATGTCTAATCAACAGTTGAATATATAATATTGATCTAGAGCGTTCAACAGAGGTGGTAAGTAGAGATACAGATCTTGGCATCATTGGCGAATGATAGTTCAACCAGTGAAGTGGCTAAGATCCTCCAGGGGGACATTTAATTCAAAAGGAGTAGATAATGGAGAATAATACCCCAGAGCACCAACACTTAACTAACAGTCTTGTGGTACAACTAACACTACCATTTTTCTATATTATGGGTTAAATGGGCTGTTATGAGTTAGCCTAAGAACCAAGCCACCATTTATAAAACTTGCTATGTAAGAGTGTAGAGTAAGTTCAAACAAATTGCAAAACACCTTAGAGCCACAAACTGTAAGTTGGAGCTTGGGCATACTTTCTTTTACTCATCCTAAATGTATCTTTTTACCCTATGGCTCTGGTGTACTAGAACTTGGAAACCAATTCCTAGCATAACCTGCCCACACACACTTTGTGTTTTTATTTTGGGGGAATATTTTCAGCCATACTTTATATTTCAGGCCTACTTGGTTCATCTCTAACTCAAGTATGATGACATCCAACTTTTGCCATTAATATAAATTTTGAATTAACGTGGTGTGCCTGGTATGGTACTGATTGCTCTTTCTTGCCCTCTGTCTGTCATTGTGATCTGTGCCAGAAAAGTATCGTGGGTATGGTGAGTTCTTTAACTCAAGTAGGGCCTTTTCAGCAAACAATATTGATGTTAAAGGAGCAATCGCTTGTGGTACCAGGAATATTGGTAAGATGAGACTCTCAGAAACACCTCTTTCTAAGGCCTCTGTGTTGATATTATTATTCTACAATTCTTTGTCTAATTTTTATTATCATACTTGTGAAGTGGTTTACTATTTTTCCTTTTTGTTTCAAGTTCATTTGAAAGAGCTAAACACTGAACTCTGCTCTCTGGTATGTTTACTACATGTGACTTATCAGAGAAAGAAATATAATTACTATTTGGCACATACTGACTACACACAGTGTCCATGGTTTTATTCAGAACGCACAAAAGAAGAAGCTTTTTCGTTCTGTGAGAGCATCTCGGAGTCTTCCCAAACCTCCTCAGTCACAGCAATGGTAATGTTACAGGAGCAGTGAAGCCTCTGAGGAAAGATCTTCTTTTAATAACTTCTTTTAAAAGTCTTAGTGTGGAGTTTGGAGTGGGGGAGATGTTCTTATTTCATTAAGCACTGGGTTGTTCCAGCAGTTCAGGATAAGTTGGGGACAGTAGTTGGGCTGGGAACCAGGAGGCCTAGGCCTGGCTGAGCAGAGAGCCAAATGCCTGGGGAAGAGGAAGGGAAAATGAGTCTAGACTTTGTGTCTAATCTTGGATATTGTCAGTACCCTCTACCCCTTCAGCATACCAATCCAACTTTCAGCTGCCAGCACCAGTATTTTCTTTGTCTAAGTGGCTTCTCTTTCATCTGGAGCCCATTTAAGCTGCCTACTTGGCAAGCCAGAAGTGCAGGAGAATTATCATACGCCGGGAAGCAGCCTTCAATCAGTGACTGACAGGATTGAGGGGGCTGTAACTATCCCAGCCACCTCACCCATTGGCTTGGAGAGCTACTGTGTATGCTTTACACTGGCTTTCCCAGCAGGATTAAGCTCGTCACCTACAGTAGGAGCTGGCCTGACAGTACACTCTTTATTGGCCACCTTCCCTTCTTTGTCTCACTTTTCCACTCTCCTGGTATGTGTCTTCACCTCCAAATAAACCCTTGCACTAGAATCTTTGTCTCAGGATTTGCTTCTTTGGAAAGCTAAGAACTAAAATACAACCTCATCTTTCAGAGAGAAAGTTTCAGGCACCTAGCCCTCACACTTGCCAGGTGGGCATGGTGAATAAGGAATCAAAGCCGAATCATTAGTTAAATGGTTTAGATTATACCTACTTACCTTTGATACCTTCCTCTGTGCTTGATGCTGACTAGCCCTCTTCTGCCTGTACATGCTTCCTATTTTCTAAATTAGCATCACATTCCAGCTTTGCCTCCCCCAGATGACACCAAGTTATCTTGATGGAGCATCAAGTCTATCTAAGCTCTCGTGTTACATATTTATAGCATCTTCTTTCTGCCCCCCTCGTAGCAACAAACCTATTTGTTATTTAAGCTGTCTGGCACCCTGTCCCTTCTCCTTGCATCAGTCACATAATCCCCTATTCTAATCATGTAATTCTGTGAGATCTGCCAGGTCCATTAGCAGAAGTAAAGGACATCTGCTTACCATCCTCTTTACCTAGACATAGCTGCTTAAAGAGGGAATGCAAGGTGAAAAATTGGAGGCAAGAGTGGACTTTTTTGAACTTGCTGATAAAACAACTGAGAGAAGTAGGCCAAAATATCTAGGAGGGGTCAAAGGAGGATCTTTCGTGGGGTGTGTGTGTGTGTGTGTGTGTGTGTGTGTGTGTGTGTGTGTGTGTCTTCAAACTGAAAACTTGGCAATCTTGATTCTTCCCTCCAATCTGTCAACCTGGCTCCTCCCATAGCCAGCACCTTGATTCAGGTTTCACTTCTGCCCTTAGATCACTTGAACAGCCTTCAAACCTCTTGTCTCAAGCCCCAGCTCCTGTTTTCCATTAAGTTGCTAGAGTATTCTTTCCCAGATGCAAATCTGATCTCGTTAGTCTCTACTTACAGCCCTTCTGTGAATTCCTGTTGCCCTCCGGAAATCATTCAAATCCTTATGAAGATTTCAAAACTGGTGGGGCCCTTGCTGTTCAGGCCACTGCCTCTCAAGGCCTCTCTCTCTACTCATTGTCTTGGAAAACACACTCTATCCTTTACACTCCTGCAGTTGTTGAATGTGCCATAGTCATACTCACTTCATGTCTTTGCATGTACCATGATTCCTTCCTTACAGAGTACTCCATCTTCTTTCCCATGTCTCCTCTTTCATAATCTAACAGTCTCTTGCTTGGGCCTTTAGGACTGAGCTGAAGTGTCACTTCCTCTGAGAAGACTTTCCTGACTCCTTCCGACCTGGATAACTGTACCTTGTATTTTACTATGGTGACACTTAAACCATTTTCTAACTGGTGATTAATAGTAGAGCCTGACCTGTGTCCCTGGAGTTTGAGAGGGTACAAAAGCGGATGTCTAACTTTTTTGGAAACGTTCCAAAGTCAGAAGTGGCTGGGGCTTCCCCTCATGGCCCAGGGGAAAAGAAGACTTTGGTGGGAGGTGCCTGTTCTCCAGGGTTTGGGTGTGACAAACAAACCGGCTTTACCCTGGACCAAGTGGACACCTCAGACAGTAGCTGGGCTTGAGTCATTTGATAGATTCCCAACCTAACGGCAGTGCTCTGTAGGGTGAGATGACAAGAGAAAGAATCTACATAGGGTTTGCCATTAGAATAGGGATGATGGGACATTTAATATAGTCGACCAATTACTGCATCCTAGCACCAGAGTGCAATGTGGTGGGAGATCCATACAGGGGTCTCTGAAAACCCCACATATAGAAAAAGGAAAACTCTTTACCAAGGCCAAAAAAGTTAAACAACGTGTCCGGGATTTCACAGGAAATGATAAAGCTGGGATTCGATCTTGATTCCGCAGGATCAGGTGGGTGGGTGGCCAGGCAGGGGTAACTGGGAGAGACCTCACACTGGGAGTGAAAGGGGTGAGCGCAGTATCAAGATTTCCTGGAAAAAAAAATAGGGGACAAAAAACGTGGGTAATGTCTCTGACTACAGGTTCAAAAACTTCCATGGCGGAAAACTGTTAGCCGAAAAGTGGGCACATACTACTTATCTCTTCGGATTCTTTGATCCTGTCAAAAGAGTTTCCTGCTTTTAAGAGTTTCCTTGGAAAACAAAGCTTCCCACATTAAATCTGAATAAATGGAAAGAAATAATAATAATTAAAAAAAAGAAAACTTAAGAAGCACGTCTGAAGTCTGGTCACTGAAGGGGCTGGAAGAAACTAACATCTATTTCATTGTTCACCTTGATTCCGGAACCGTCAGGACTCAGGGATCCACCTCAATTCTGGAACCATGCCCAGGCTGAAGCTCAGACGGAAACCAGTGGAATTTATCCCAGTCGCTGACCAGGGAGCCCCTGGAGCAGGCAGTGCACCCCCACACAATCCCAGCTCACCCTCAAGGCGGCTTCCTGCTCCCTTTTCAAGAAGGAGACTTGAGCAGAACCCAACAGACGAGCGTGCCTTGGACGCGCTGCAGGAGTTTTAGTCCTCGGGTGGGAGCGCGCTGGGGGTGGGGGAGCAGCCGCGGAGCTGGCGGAGCTGGGGCGCGTCACCGTCGCCGCCAGAGACGCCGCGCTGCCCAATCGGGGGAGGCGCTCGCTCGCAGCC